GAGTAAATAGACATAGATAATTCATTGCAAATTTATATTTAAGTTTAGTAGAAATTATATATATTTTTTTAGAAAATTGTTTGATTATTCTACTTCCCTTATGATCAAATTCATAATGATAATAATTATTACAGAATAACCATGGCAACACATCTGAAGGCCATTTAATTTCCATTGTGTGAAAAGGAAGTAAAATAGCAATAAAAATGCTGTAACGACACTTGATATTGTTTGAAACAGCAGAGTATGGAAGTAGACAACAGCCCTAGGCACGATTCCAATAACCATCCACATCAATAATTATGTATGGAGAATATCCATCTATAGAACAGGTAATCTGGCTACAGTTTGTTATGCCGACTACGCTACCAGTATATCAAGGCTGTCATGTGATTAAGACCTCCAGGTGTCGCTGAAGAAGACACCACCCATGTGTGACTCATGTATCTGTTTATCCAGCATTTCGCACGCTTCCGAGCAAATTCAATTTACTAAAACTAATACAAATTTTGCATTTTTAAATATTCGTGGAATAGTTCTCCGGCCTGGTGCCTCAAGCAGAGAGATGAAAATTGAGCATCTAAAATTACTGTCAAACTGGCAATTAATTGGATAGAATTCCCTGACAGGTTTGTGTTGGATTTCAGGTATCTTTGCCACTTGATATTTTCGATGATGATAGCTTCACGGTTTTTTTTTTTCCCAACTCAAGAAGTAGTCAGAGGAGGTCAAGAAGACTTCAACGAAAACTGTGATGTCAGCAATATTGTTGTGTGTAAAAAAACATGCTGTGAACTCATCTACTCACCTCAAGCCTATCAATCATACATTCCATAGATTTGTGTCAACAAAACAGAGTTAAATATGTTAAATAGTTTACATTTTCTGAATCAAGTTACTTGTTTACATCTTTGTGGTTATCTTTTGGTCAAACCCACATTTGATTGATTGTTTCAGAATGTCTAAATGGAAACCAAATTCTTATTATGTTAATACAACTGGCAGAATTCTGTCAATAATTTAAATGATATTGAAGTTCACATCATTTCTTTTCACTTTGGCATCATGATTAAAATAATCAATCTGCTTGGGTCACACGTTCACAGATATTTGATGTTAAATTAAAATCTGCAACCAATTTGACAGAACTAGAGATGATAAAAATATTTCCTACTTTCAGTTTTGATAATTGAAAAGATTAACAACTCCCTGATTAAAATAATCATTATATGATAATAATTTTAATATTAATACATTTTTAAAGCATCAAAGAGCATCCCTAGTCACAATTGACAGGAGTGAAATGAAAGAAAATGATAAATAGTAATGCAAAAACAAAACAAGTAAGAATATTTACATGGCAAAAGGAGCTCTTCTAAATTAAAGGATATGAAAAATTGCAGTATATTTATTTTTTTCTGCTGTATTGGGGTTTTTTAAAATTGCTTTTTGTACATCTCAATGCAACATTTAGGTTTTGCATTGTTATGATATGGTAATCAGCTTTAGTAAGAAATTGACTTTTAACTATGGCTTTTTTATCATTTCAATATGAATCTTATAATACAGTAGTTCTGTTTTTTGATGTAATTGCATTGTATTCTGAAACATTTTATTCAAAAATATGAATATCATGCTGAATAGAGCCCACGACATCAAGGGAATATTGCAAACACTGTAACCCTACATCTGTGCTAAGTTTGATGTGCCGTGATTGCAATATTGTGAAATAAACCTTGAAATGAAAAAAATGATAATAACTTGCTAATTAAAATTGTAGGTTTTTTGTGAGAGCTAAGAACCTAATACTAATTGTAATATTATCTCTGATGATGTTATCAATTAAATCCTACCAAAACACGATACTGAATGATTTCTGCCGATGTCACAGAAATCCTTTTACAGTGTAACACCACTTACGCACATTATCATTACTGCTGGTATGTTACAATTTATCACTTTGTCTTAATAATAGCAATTTCCTCATTGGATTAATAGATATCAGAGTAATTATAATGTTTCTATTAATATCTCACACTGTCCGGTAGTTAAACACTCTGTATATGACGGATGCATAGAAAAAAAACTTGAAGTGTACAGTGAACTTACCAGTACCATTTTTAAAAGATCTGTTTTACAAATACAGTAAGATTACATTTTCTAATGTTTGTATTATTATCTTATGTTTTCTACTGTGTAAGCATTTTAAGAGATCATCTAGAGTACAGAAATCTATTTTCATGTCAAATAGCAGTATAATTTCTCAACTGTATATCGATATTATGGGCCTAAGTTATGCTGTATAGCAGTAATGGACAGGCAATTAATATATGTACTGTACTGTCCTTATACATTCTGAACAAAATACTCCCTCAAACATTCAATTAAATCATTAAATTGAATACCTGCCAATGGTCTTGCAAATAATATTATAGCAACGGAAGGCCCAGGCATCTGCTAATTGGCAAGGTAGAGAGCTATTTCCTTATTAAATGTACCATGGAGGTATTATAGTGAACCTCCATGAATGTACAAAGTAAACACATTGTATGGAATGTTTAATTTAGCTTAACACACAGAATACACCTTTAAATATTTATTCAAAAAATAATTTCAATTCCAATATCTCCCCTAACTGTATATTTATGAATGAATATGTTCTGGTTTTAAAATGACATCATACAGTAATTCTGGTTGATACCACAATTGGTCAGCGCTTTGTTTAATCATTTTTTGTGTGATGACTTTGTATCTATTGTGGGAAGAATATACACAATTACATTTATCATCACTATGGACTGAATTCATTGTGAATGTATTGTAACCGAAATATGAATCAAATACTACAGTATACAGTTACACCTACATAAAGATTACCCAATAAAAAGATACTCATTCATTCATATCATGTTAATCCTAATAATAATCAGGGAACCGGGAACTTGTAATGAATCATCTTTGTACACAGTAGATAGCGGGGAAGGGGAATCACCTGGCTGTCTTTCAATCAAATACCACTTCCTAAATTTTCTATAATTTAAGTCAGTAAATTTTAATTGGTCAAACTTTAATATCATTCTGATAATAAAATTGTATTAGCCTATTTGTTATTCAAAAAATAGATTACGGATTTGAATAACAATTGAATATTATTCATCTAGTTCTGTAATATTTATAGTTGCTTTTGAATTGTTAATTGAATTTTAGGGTTACTTTTTATAATTGAATCTTTATAAACAGTTTTGCTATGTACACTTAATTCCATTATAATATGTATACCTACTGTATTATTATGGAGATATACCTTGGTAGTCAAGGTGTTGTTCTTCCAATCCTTGATTTTTTGACATGACAGCTACACTACGGTAGCTGTACTTCATTTTGTTATGAATATAAGCATATTTGAATCTCATCTTTGTGATCATCATTATGATCGATCATCCTCACCACCATCATTGACAACATACAGTAGTTTACAGTATTAGTTTATTACAGTATTTTACCTCATCATCATTGACAACATTGTTTATTATTTTATCTCATCTTTATCTTCTTCATTACTATCATCATCATAAGAATCATTGTATCTCATTTTGCTTAAGATGTAACAGTGTCATAGGGATAATTATGCATTGTTGTCTGTGTAACAAAGTTTGATATTACTTTAATTGATCGATTGTCTGAATTTGACAGTGACATTCCCACTAATACCTCCTGACTCTCAAGATCCTAGTAGCTACTACCAGCATTATGAAATCTTGAATATTAATAAGGTGTTATACAGTACATATTCATGAAGTTGATGAAGACTATTCAAAAATGATTATGTTGGTAATCTATCATTCCTCAATTCATTCAATGAATTTCTATTTGATTACTCTCTGCTGTTTTCATGATGTTTTGATTAATATGGTTGTCCTCAAAAGTTCTTATGTAACTATTAGTAGGGTCATGAATAGGTTATTGGCCCGTGTTTTTACAGATGAATTTGTTATTTTTGGATGACCGGTTGATTATTGTTGATTTATAAGGATTTATGGTCCATTACCACACACATTTTAACAAAGAGTTATGTCTGTATTTTACGTAAGATTTACACACAAGTTGCTAATAATAGTAATGGAGAGTGCACTATCATACAAGTAATTAATGTTTAATCATTCATGGTGTATGAGAGTGTCTATTCTGAAGAAATTGCAACTTGTCTAAAGTAGAGTACAATTAGTTTTGATAAAGACAAGTAATCTGTTCTGTAACTAAGAACATCTTTATTTCAAATATTTTTTTAAAATAGCATGTCAATGTTTATGAACTTTTATATAACATATATTTATGATCTGACATTCATGTGAAATAGACAAATAGGACTTGGAAGAAAGATTGACGAATTTTGACGTCCATCAATCAATAGTAATAGTTAATAGTTAATCAGTAAATCAAAATATTTTTGAGACTGGTATTCGTAATGAAATTAATTTGAAATTAACGGATATGGCTGCTTTGCACTTGCGTGCACTGAATCAGAACACGTCTTTTTTATACGTTACCATTATTACTAGCTTGATACCATTTAGATCTTGTTTTGTCAGCGAGCAATTATACGATGGCAATAAATTTAACGAATTCAGCTCCACGAATCGTTAAGGTCACTCCTAGGTCACTCAATATGATCAAATGCGTTATTTTAACTATAATAATTGATAGGTGTGGTGAATCTCAAATTAATTTTAAAGTATGAAAATGCATAAAGATAAATTAATTTTATTTATTTATACAGTATGTATGGTATTCATTATTTACTTGTTTTCAGTATTTTGTATTTCTCATCCAACAGCAAGTACAATTGTATATATATTTACCATGTCATGCATATAACACTTACCATGTACCATGCATATACTGTATGAATATACTATATACGTAGAGTAACCACTATTTATTTTGTTTATTATTTGCATTTGTAAGTCTTGTAATGTTTAAATTCCTTTTGTCTGTTATAGTGGTGCCAATTATGAACACATTTTAAAGACTGTAACTATAAAACGAGGAAAGAAAGGATTCGGCTTTGTCCTGCGTGGTGCAAAGAGTAAGTAAACCTGTAATTGTTTTTCTTCATTATTTTATTGTTTTTGAAAAGTGCATCCACTTTCCTTTCCCTTTTTCTCCATGTTAACCATTTCCAGATACTGTAATTTTTCTATGTGTTATGTTGTTTGTATTCCTAATTCAATACCTAAACAGGCAATCAGAAGGAGATGTCATTTTAATTAACATTTTGTAAATCATTTTTTCAGCACAATCTAAAAATTCTACTGAGCAGATTTATGAAAACAGTAAGAAAATATGATTAGGCCTGTTAATGCACTGGTGAAAGAAGACTACTTATACCTACTGTACTCGCTCCTCCCACACCCTCCCCCCAACTACCACCCAAAAAAAGGGAAGAAAAGCCTTATGCAGGGGAAAGATCAATATAAATTTACACTTTTAAAGTCTAGCATTTATTATATACAATTAAGCCCAATATGTAAAATAAGCTTTCAATATCATAAGTATTAAAGGATTACAGGAATACTTAAGATAGTGTCTGCACAGTCAATGTTATTGAAGATAAAGTGTTCCTTCACTTTAACATTACTAATTTAATGTATTTGCACCTATTGGTACATGAAAGAATATATATTACTTCATTAACGTATTTCATTAAATGAATTCTAAACTCTACACATGTTGTTGATTTTAATTAAAATAAGAATATTATATAACCATGAACTGTTTATCATAATGCTATTATAATAATAAGTCTGTATAATTTTATAATACAATGCCAGATTAATTTTTAATTAATTCTATTATTTTTAATTAAACAATTCATTAAATTATGTTCCAAATTTTACTATTATAATATAACCAAACGTGTATGGCAATACATACTCAAAAAATTCCACGCTATTGGTTGTAATAATAATAAGTCTATTATTATTATAGTCATCTTCATAGTAATGCTAATCACCTGCTCTGTATAATTTTATAATAACAGTGCCAAATGAACTTTTAATTAATTCTACTATTGTTAATTTAGCACTACTGTACATTAAATTATGTTCCAATTTTTACTGTTATAGTATTACCAAGGATGATTGGCAATACATACTCCACCAAGCCATTCCCTACACCTACATGCCTATATAGTGCTTCCCACCCATACACCTATAATGCTTTTCCTGTTTCCACACACCTATATAATGGAAACAATACTTATACGGTTGCCGTCAATAATTGGTGTACTAATATTTATAACTAGAAATTGTTTTGAATTGAATTTGTTTTATTATGCATAACATGATGGTATATTTGTCTACAGGTAAAAATGAGATGCGTTTTCAGCCTAGCTCTGAGAACCCAGCACTGCAGTACCTTGACTCAGTAGATGAAGGGAGCAATGCAGAGAAAGCTGGCTTGAAGCCGGGTGACTTTCTTCTAGAGGTTAGTCCTTGCAAATGTGTTTATTTTATTTATTTTTTACATTTAACTATCATTTTTGTTGTTAAAATCATGTCAAATTCCTTATCATTATGTCATACTGTTAATTGAAAAAATATTCTGAATCAGAAAACGTAACACCTAACGAACTGTAATATAAGTATTAATTCCGTTAAGTTGTTGACACGATCATTGTGTACGTTTATGACTCAATAGAATTTTTTACATTTAACTATCATTTTTGTTGTTAAAATCATGTCAAATTCCTTATCATTATGTCATACATTAAATTGAAAAAATATTCTGAATCAGAAAACGTAACACCTAACAAACTGTAATATAAGTATTAATTCCGTTAAGTTGTTGACACGATCATTGTGAACGTTTATGACTCAATAGAATGAAATTTTAAATGAGCTACATTACTGGATATTACAGCCACACCCTTGGTGAACAAGACCTTCATTTCGCATCCTCCTACAGTCTCATCCTCCTACTCTCAATTAATTAGATAAATGAGGAAGAATTGACATTTGTTGATTGGTTTTTCTGTTGGCATTGTAACCAACTTATATTTGTGACGTAGTTAGGATTCTCTGGTTTATCAAAGCATGCTGAATTAATTTAGTTTTTAATCCTACATTAATAAATTCTACAAACTGTGACTTGGTTACAATCCTGGTAAAATATTTTTGGACCAGAAAAACTACAATCTGAAAGATTCTATGCTCTCAAGACTTTAAAAAAAAAAACTTATTATATATAGTATACAGTAGAGCATTAATTATTATTATTATTATTATTATTAATTATTATTATTGTTAATTGGTTTTAGGCCAAATGCCAAAGATATGCCAAGCAGTGAACGTATTGAAAGTGGCATAAACAGAGATGTCTCATTATGAGGCTTAGGGAGTGGCGTTGTTTTGGTCGTGAGAAAAATCCTGTTACTGTGACAGGAAATTGAACCCACAACTCTGAGATTGGAAGGCAAGCATCTTAACAGCCATTAATGGTCCCATTATGATCAGCTTTCCATTATTTAAAAAAAAATAATTTAACTTGGTTATTATACATTATGGGTCCCAAATGATCAGCTCTCCAAGCCTCATAAATAGTCTGGTTTTACAGCACCGATTGTCATCAAAGACTAGCTTAGCTAGATTGATATTGATCACTCTCATGATATACAGTATGTTTTGACAAGCCCAGGTGAAGGGGAGATATAGAATATTTTGCTCCAAGTAAATCTTGACATTTCTTTTAATAACATTTTTCTATCGGTATATTCAGCTACAATTGGTTCAACTATAATTTTCTTTGGGTGTGGATAAATAAGCAGCACATTAAAGTGCTGTACTAATGTGCTGACATTAAATTATCCAATCAAATAATGTTTATATGTCACATGTCTTTATTATTCAAGGATCAGGTTTGCTCATCTTCTAAAGTAGATAATGTGTGATAACACTGCGACCTGATTTGATGATTGCAAACCTTCCCATGATCCCTCACTTCCCATCTTATTCCATTATTGAATTTTACACTAAGTTGAAAAGTATTATGATCATCTTGATTTGAACGAGATTGAAATTACTTTTAATCTGCTTTTTCGCAGATAAACGGTGAAGATGTCCGTCAAGCAGAGCATCAGCGAGTGGTGTATATAGTCTCTAAATGTCCAGACACTCTGCAGATTAAAGTGGTGACTGTGGAGAAGACTATCACACCACGAACACCTAGTTTAGATTCACATGGATCATCCAAAAGAAAAGGTAAGAGAGCCACCTATATTTAAAACCACTAATATTTAAATATAATGGTGTAACAAAATAACCAAACCAATGTCTTTATTTTAAATATAAATACTAAATAGTTATTCAGGTGTCAGTAACTCGTATATAGGCATTTTATTTATTAATGTTTAGAAATTTGGGCACGTGTACAGTATATATTTAATTTAGATATGTTGGTGTATGGCTATAATATTTGATTAATGACTACTGTATATCTAAGTCTTAATATACGGTGTTTTATCTACTCATATATATTATTTTGTTGAATATCTTATATATAATATAACATATATGCACATATATAATAATGTAGCATTCACTTTAATAGGTGTTTTAGATATTTTTTGGTGTTAAGTTGCTCAAAGTATTTTAACTTATTTTTCAAATCAGCCCCACCACCACCTATGAGGTCATCCAAGACCAGACTAAGTTTTTATGGTAAATTGATTAGTTTAGCTTTTGTAGAAGCTTTCTGTCAGTTGCTTTTCCTCTCCTTTGTAATTTATTAAATTAAAAAGCATACTCAAAGCACTTCAATTCATTAGCATAAATGCACTAGTGCTACAAATTCAAAATTTCTAAATTATTCAGTCAGAGAGACAACTAAAGATTTTTAGTATGCTGAGTACTTGAAGTGTCTGTCAGAATGTAAGCCCATGCTACTCAAGTTACTAAAAAATAAAATAGTATCAGAGATCAGTGGTTTTGAGTTCCCTTGTGTGTTTTAAGAGGTGTGACTTTGTGCACGTATTGTGACAAGGTACATACCGTGGATTAGATATAATGGGTTGAGGCTGTTACTTCTACATTATAAAGGAATTCTATGCTAAATATCGATTCTTAGAGTGTAGCTATTATATATTGCTTCTTTCATTTAATATACAGTACTAACCTTGGTGTAGGTTCAGTAATTCCTACTTTTTTCCATCACCAAAATGTTTACTACTATTTAACAGCATAATATAAGCCTTTGTCAATATCATAATTTATTATTTAGGCTGTCAAACGACAACAAAGCAAAAACTATATTTTACCAGTCTTGGGCAAGATATTTGTATACTTTGTTTCGCAAAACTGGTGTCCACTGATAGTGATTATTTCAAATAAAACTAAAAATTTGTCAGTGGCTTTGTTAGCACAGTTGCTGTCATAAATAATTGGTACTAATTACAGGGGGAAAATAAATGCTGCCCAGCTATTTCGTTCTCTAAATATCAAGTCATCTTCATGATGGAAGAGTACAAACGTAAATGTGAAATACATGCTTTGAAATTATAATTTTGTAGTGCAACAAAGAATATAAACCATTCACTAAAATTATATTTCTCTCTTGGTTTGATTTGCTTATGTCTGTCACTATATGCTTTTGTCATTAGCTTTTTTACTTGATTATCTTAGATGGGAATCTTCATATTTCTTAATTGAAATTATCTTATATCATTGTAAATTTTTACCTTTTTTCTTTTCCAGATGAGGATAATATTTCAATTGCCAGTGATGCATCATCAAATAGTAGTCAAGGTAGTCAGAAGATTGCATCTATACGATCAAGACCGACCTCAAAGCGTGTGTCCTCACAACACCTCGATCAGATCCTACAACGCCAAGGCAGCAAATCCTCGCTTTTGTCAGCTTCGTCAAATCCTAACAAGCCAGTAATTCCAGCTACTCCCATATTCCGTTATGGCACAATGGGAAGAAATCCGAAAGGAACTGGAGAGGTAGTGGACAATACACTACCTAGAAGATCATCAAATGGCAGCGATTCTGCTCACTCTTCTCTCAGATCTTCCCCGGCATCTTCATATTCCCTAGCTACCGATTCTTCATATCAGAGTAGTACAGACAGTGGTGTGCCCATGAAGATGGAAAGAAGTGTGTCTGAACATTTCACACAGTATCAGTCGCAACCAAATGCAATCCCACAAAGAGCTCCCCCTGCAATAAATTCAAGGTCAAAATCGATGATAAGCCTGGAAACAGCATCTACGGCAAGTACACCAGAACCAAAAGCAAAGAAAACTGCGCCAAGTCCCTCTCCCGCAAGAGCTCTTGCTCTGCGTGAACAGAAGAAGCGTAACAACCAGACACCATCCAACCCACCTCCCGTTTTTAATCCAAAAACTCCCCCAAGTAAACATAAAAGTGTTGCTAAAACACCCCCAGCTCCACCTCCTCCTCCTCCAGTTGAACCACCTCAGAATAATAATACAGTGAATGAAATAGCAAAGCAGAATAAGTTGACTCGAGATATAAATTCAAATGGAAGTTTGCCTGTGAAAAGGAAAAGCGAACCAAATACATTTGCCGCTTCCATTGCTCGTGCCGCAGAAAAGAGGAAAGAACAGGAGAATTTTTCGGAGTCACCTGTTCAGATTGGCTCCAATGCGCAACCATCTCATGCAGTACAGATTGCTTTGGCTGCTCGTCAACGAAACATGAATCAAAATAACCAATTACCAAACCAAGAACCCTCACAATCTGCTTCACTGCCTACCACTGGCTTGCAAGCAGAGATTTTACAAAGAAAAGCCAAATTTAATTCAAATGCTCAAAGCAATGAAACAATTGAGGAGAAGATTAAGCGTCAAAAAGAGAACAATGTACATAGACCTAAATCAACTCATGATGCATTACTGGAAGCCATTGCAAAAAGAAAGTCACGACTAGATCAGAAAGAAATGGAGGCTAATAGTTCAGAAAGTCAGAGTCGTCAAAATAGTTTTGAGGCTTGGAATGATCCTACTCCGACAAAACCAGTTAAAGTACCCCCAAGTGTACCTCCAAAGAGAAATCCAAATACAAAACTTTCTGAAAGTGAGGGAAGTCTATCAAGAAATGGAAGTCCACTACTGAACGCTAATAGACATGTGAATGCTAATAAATTCGGACGCAATGTCAACGATCAATCTAGTACCCCTAAGCAAAATGGTATGGATAACACAGACTCAAGGAACCAGTCTTCACTGCCACCCCCTCCTCAGTTTAATGCCACTCAGAGGGGCAACAATGTGGAAAATACTCCAAATAATTTTAGCTCAATTTTAAATCGTTTTCAGAATAACAGCCCGACCGGGACACTTAATGGGCATTTGGCAAATGACATGATATGTGTACCTCCTCCACCAAGCAATAGTGAGAACATTAACCAAATGGTACTGGAGATTGTGCCTCCCCCACCCGCAATGGACATCAACAGCAGACCTCAAAGGCTTAGCCGCGACCATGCTTTTGACACAGCTAGTGTGGTCTCATCCGTGTCTTCTGTATCAACTTTATCCAATTTATCTAACGAACCATGGGATTCATTCCAGACAATTGGAGAAGAGGATGACAAGGTTAGCAGTCTGCGCTCTGGATCTGGTAACAGCCAAAATTCAGGGTCTAATAGAATCAGCAATGGACCAATATCAACTTCATTCCAAGGTTTGTACTTAATATTTTATTATATTTTATTTCCTCCACATCCAGCAGCAGTGTACATATTTTTTATGTAAAGCTAATAAATTAAAAATACCAATTTATTTGGGCAAAATTAGGCTTCCTGCAGAACTGTATCTGGTGGAATAGTTATGAACACTTTCAAATTGAACTGATAGGTGTAGGTATGTTTTTAGAATCCTTTCATACATTTTCAAATCTAATTAAATGTAATTTTTATTTTTTTTTTGTAGCTTCAAATTCGTTCCAAGATAAAGAATTGAGTACCTGGCAACCAGAAGATGTTGCTGATTGGCTGATAAGCCTTAAACTTGGAGAATATCGAGAGAGCTTCCTGGAAAATGAAATATCAGGGGAGCATCTAATGGCACTTTCAAAGGAGGACTTTACTGAACTTGGTGTCACACGTATAGGACATCGGTTAACAATTGAAAAACATTTAAGGAAATTACGAAGCACTTGAAATATTTGGAAATTTTGTACAGTATTTGGAAAGTCGATCGGGAATCTTTTTTGCAAGAGAGACAGTTGTCTCCAAATCTGTAATGGAATTTAGCGAACCATAATGTTATACTGGAAAATTTTATCTGGATATGTTTATGGTTCTTATAAACTGAATTAATATTGACTTTTTGTTATCTGCAATATGAGTGGTGGTCACAACTAAGATTTTCATGGATTTTCAGTGGCGCTGCCAAAATCAATACTTTATTGTGGCAACCGAAACTATTAAGTAATTAACTTTTTCGTAGGAATTTTACGCGAGAATATAGTATAGGAAGGTGACAATAACACTACGCTGACCAATTGAATTTTAGAGCAAATAAGCAAATGCTTTCAATGATCATCTGGCTTGAATTGATGTGATAACAATTGAGATCAGTGCAGCATGTCACAAAGCATGGAATTTAATTCATATTTCAGATATATATCCTTGATTCGTTATTTACCATCAACCATACAAATTTTCGAACAATTAAAAAAACAATTATTAATCTTCAGGCAATTTACACCAATTACAAGAACTACTGTATATGAAACATAGGAACTAATCCTACAAATATTTATATATAGATATATAAAAATAAGAATATATTATGTAAATTTGATAAATGCATAATTTGAATATATTGAAAAATTTGAATAGCTAATAATGAATTCAGCACTTTTTGAATATAATTTTTTAGTTATGTGTAAAGCAACATATTGTCACTTTCATTTAAGATGGAATTGATAGATTCAAAATTACTTTATGTTTTGGAATGTTTTTTTTTTTACATATAATTTCGTGAAAATGGGAAATTGTATTATAGTTTGTAATTGTTTACTGTGTGATTGTGTTTGATCATCTCATAGCGTATTTTCTTTAGTATTCAGAACACATTTCCCGGATATAATTTTAACTTTTTAGTATTTTTTTTTTTTAATCTGGGATAGATATTCATGTGCTTTTCAATCCTGGCTTGTTTGAATTTTAGATTTTTGATACCAAAGCTAAGAAATTTATTTATGGTTACCAGAGGAATATAAATTAGAATATATTTACCGTGTGATGAGAGGGAAATAATGAAAACATTTGCATACTGTACACAGATCAGATTTTAGGTTGACGCTGTTTGATTGGACTTTAGGTGGCGCTCTTTACATTTTTAATAGTGGCTCATTCAGGGTATAGTTTGGAGAAGTATCTGTTAAAGATATTTTTTACCCATTTGAATTTTTCTGCACCAGATAATCAAGATATGATCATGTTATATATAAAAAATTTCAGACTATATTATTCATTTGGTTTATGTAAATTATATGATGCTTTCAATGTAATTAAAAAAACAAAATTTTTGATCATGTATTTGTGAATTGGTTCATAAAAGTGAAAGGTGAGCTGCGGAAAATTTACTTCCTCCATCACCTGTCCTCTACCTATTTGCCTGCTTAAGTGTACAAATTTATAAATAGAAATTGTTGATTGTATTAACTAGAAACGTATTTTGTGATATTTTGCTTTATTATTAACTTGAACATAACAAACTATTGTAAAATTAGTGATAGAGAATAGTTTATTCTTGCCATATTTTTGATATGAATTTTACATGTTTTTTTCCCCTAATATTTAAGCTAACAAAATTGTTCAACAAAAGAGAATGTGCTGCGAAGTTATAACAATAAATAATTAATTATGATAATTACAATAAATTAACCATACACCTTGTTCCTCTGTGAAATTAGTAGCGTGATATAGTATAATACTAAAAATGATGAAAATATTTACACATACATCTTATATATAGTTTATTAAAATGTGTGAAAAAATTAATTCAATAACAAATATGAAAATATAGAAATCTTCGGGTTAATAGAATGCTTTATTTATATATATTTTTATTTATTTTTAATAATATTTGTTATTTATTTATTTATTGATACTCATTATTTATTATAATATATTGATATCAATTTTTTGTTGATTATTGTTATTTTAAAGCATTCTGAACTGTTAACCTTCAGGCAATTGGACAATTAATAATTGCAATTAATTTTAAATACTTGATTTTCTTTTTTCATATTCTGTGAATGACAGAATATAACAGGGTATCGATTGTCACCAATTGTTTACTTTTTCAAAATTATTTGCATATGCAAATTGTCTAATTAGCATTAATTTATGCTGCAGGGCAAATATTGTCTTCTATCTCACCTCATTAACATGGCAGTCGACACATTTAAGTTCTGCAGAATTGGTTTCTGCACGTGTGTTTGTATATATGTATGTTGAATGGTTTTATATTATAAGATGGTTCTTGATATTACAAGAATAAAGTGTTTCGGCAACTTGAATGCATCTAAAGTACATTGAATTTTTGTCTGATCTTCTTTGTCTGCAAATTAAAACAAACCATTTTAAGTTACACCTTTACATCCATGCTTCCCGATATTGGTAAAGTGGGTCGCAAAACTTATGCGTTGAGTCGCGAGAATGTTTGCTGAAAACAGGTTGTAAAGGCTTTAACTGATCTAACTGAAAACGTTATTTCAGGTGAATCTTCATTAGAACAATATTTTATTTTTATGTCCACAATGAACATCTTATATCTTACTACAACACAATTGTGTAAATCTAAACATTGACATGAACTTAAAACAGAAACTCTGTCATGTGACTTATAAGAATAGCATTTTCCCAATAAATTTCAAATGGGTATAAGCTTTGCAAAACAATAATACAGCTAACAAGTGTGTATTTTGGTCGGTTGATATAGTGGTAGCCACAGGGCTAAAATTGAGGTTTAAGTTTATCAAATATCTTGTATAAAGATCGGAAATATTCCTGCAAAAAAGCCGATCCTATATTTTCGAGATTTTGGGTCAGTCAGGCTTGGATCAGGCAAAGTAAGTCTCTTGTATTTTTTATTACTGTATAAGTTTTAAATATTTAAAAGTCATTTTCCCACTTGCGCGAAAAATGATGATGATCAGTGGCTGATTCAAAGGAGTTGGGACCAGTCGGCCTGCCCTACTCCTAAATTTTCAAAATGTATATAAAAAATAATCAGTAATAATAATTGAGAAAAAAAGAAAGAAAATGTTATTCAAATTTAAAAGTCTGCCATTTATAGTCATCTAGAGGTGCCATGATCCTAAACTTTCTGGGTACACTCTTTGTAAAAGCCCCTCCCTGGGCCTCTTTATTACGAATTCCTGGACCCGTCACTGATAAACAGTCAGTAAGCAATCGATCATTGCTTACAACAGTAAGCAATGATCGATGTTGTATCCATGCCGTGTAGTCAAATTTCAGGGATCTGAAAAAAAAAAACTTGGTGTATATATATACTATCAAATTACGAGATGGGTCGGGGTTAGTGTGGGAAATCTAAACTTTGGTCCCAGAGAAAAATTTTTTAGGAAGCGGGGCTTTAAATAATGATGTTGGTAAAACTCGATTAACTTCAAGCAGTTGAATATAATATACATCGAAGTCAGGGGCAACATTTATAACTTTTAATGGAAAGACAAGTTGATGTCTGGCTACTAAGAAATATTTAATTAAGAATAAATAAGAGCATGCAGTTACTGTACAACCATTTTAAAACATTTAATGTATTATTTTTTAGTTTCCATCTAAATAGAGAAATCTAAAGACCACATTTAGTACCCATGAGTTCCAAGTCTCCCGTAGAATGGGGTATCCTGGAAACTGGCAGGAAGAACTCCCGCATATTTTTCCCGAAATAAACCATCTCCCGCAAATTCATGATGATATTTGCATGCTTTAACAAGTTTTTAAACTGTAATGTCAATTGTCTGCGCAGCAGTTAGTAACAATCATTAATGGTTATCACCATGCACAGCAAAATTTGGTTGTCATAAGAAAATTCATTTAAACAGATCTCCCGATGTGGATTCTTCCAAATTGGGACTTGAATTCGACACCAAAAGACCACCATGCACAGGACTACAGGGAAATAGTTTTAGCATTAATAATAATAATAATAATAACATCTTACAGTAACTGTAGGCCCTACACCCATTCACACATCTTACATTTACTATATCATTTCTTAATTCCCCTCTAAATAGAGATATTAGAGACTACTTTTAAAGCCGGTCTTTAATTATATTGATTCAAATTACAGACCAAGCGGCTGCTAAAGACCACTAAAACCCGACTGGTCCCAAAAAGGATTTTTAATTGGTTGTATGGAGGGAGACCTGTGATAGGATTGAGAAAAAGTGGCCCTGTAAATTTATAATATCGTCCACATGACGGTGCGTCCACAATTTGGAAAAATTACAAAGTAAAAATATGACTGATGTCTTCAATATCGTTAATTCATAATCAACATGTGCCGTTATTATTTACTTTACAATCTATGAAACATCTGAAGGAACCTTAAACATTGAACTTTTATCTGTAAAACAATCTGGGTTCGTACATTGTGCAATCGGAAGGGAAGAGTACTTCCACGTTTCTTTTTATTGTAATTGTTTAATAAGCAGGTAATATACAATCGCCTCCCATTCGAGACCCTTTTAATTCAAGACCGTTTTCAACAATCTTATAACACAAAACCAACCCTATTGGAGACCAAACCCCGATACCATCCATAAAAGGTGGTCTTGAATTGGAAGGCGAAATGTAGTTGTTTTGCCTATTAGCACTAATTGTATTATTTGAACAACTTTATCATAATTTGATTATTTAAGTATCTATTCTTTAGGTGAAAAATAAAATTCTGTATCCCCTGAGTACTCCCATTTCGCAATCGACCTGGTGGATTCGCTCGTGAGACAGTTAAAACGTACGGAACTTTATCTAGTAATCATATTGGTTTAGCATGCAGGGCAAAAACTTAATCTGTTCATTTTTATGTAAATAGCAACTGTTATCATCTGGCATATTATTCTAGAGTTATTGATTTTCATATTGGTTGTTAAGTGCCATCAATAAGGTTACGAGAATTTCCAGATATTTTTAAGCATTATAATATATTATGCTTATTTTTTTCTCTTTTGTGGGATCGTCCCACTTTTATTTCATCATAATGTCTTAAGCTACGTAGATATATTACACATAACATATAGTCTACATTTTAACAGTTATTATATATATTAAGTAAATAATAGTATGAAATATATATATCTGTTATGTAATTACTTAGTACACGTCTCTTTACTGTTCTTCATAATAAGTGTTCAGACATCGACTATTGTATTCTTTATTTATTTTTTTTATATCATTTTCTTTTTTATTTATACATATATTTATTTAAACTTATCTAGATCGACCATAGACCATTTATTTTTTGCTTTTTCCATATTAATTAAAAATTCACATGTAATTAGTCTGTTTAGTTCAGATAAAAACATCACGGACATTTTTTCCTCAAACATAATATATTCATTATTTTAACTTTATAAATAAAAAACGGCGTCAAAATTGAAATCATTTCGTTCACTCTTTCGCTATAGCTTCCAATAACGATTTGGTTCCATTGTAAGTTATCATAGATTTTAAAACATGATCGCATCATAGTGTGTAATTTCGTCCAACATGCTTCTATATATTTGCATTTAAATAGCATGTGCTCTTCATTTTCAGTAATATTACAATACTCACATAGATTGGTTGCAGATAATTTCCATACATTTAGTCTATGTTTTGTAGGTAATAGTCTATGTAAAAAATTAAAATTGAACTGTGCAATTTTATTTTTTATATTATGCTTATTCACTAACTTCTATATCTTTATTTTGACCGTTGAACAAACCTCAAACATCGACTTATCAAAATGTTATTGGATAAGCTAGTATCGTATGCTAATAAAAGAAAATATTTTGTTTGTCGCCATCTATATTAACATGCTTTCTTTAACTGTCTTTGTCGCCCTCTATATTAACTATTTTTAATTTATATTTTTATACTAAAGTTTGTCATTTTGATTGAAAGTAATAAATGAATGGATAATTAATAAGAACGAAAAAGAAATAATTTCGAATGACCTAATTGAATGATTGATATGAAAAAAAATAGGCCCATTGAAATAAATCGCTTCTGTATGCTAACAAAAAAGGAAAATATTCTATCAACCCCATGAAAATTAAAAAGAAAATATATAAAACCAAACGTTTAATACAGCTGAAAATTTAGTAAATAACACCAGGTAATCAACCTGTGAGAAGATAGCTGTGAGAGAAGTAATTGTTCACTTAACTTTGCTAAAGCACTGCAACAACTAGTGCACTTAATAGACTCAAACGCTGGCAAACTATTTTAGATTTCACTGTAGGCCTACTCGCATTGACGTAGCCCAATAAGTAGGAGCCCTTAGTCCTATAGCGTCACAACACTATTATGTAAACAAATGCATTGACGAGTATTACAAAAAAATCTTACTATCGATAATTTATAAATCACGATGCACTAAAAGATGGTCATTGAGATGTGATAACGCTTGGTTGGAGACACACTAAACTACGTACAGTATTTTGTTCACAACAGAATGAATAAAAAGAGCTTTCTGTATCGTTTAACCTATTGTGTTCAACAGGTTTAAATTGAACGACAGACCGATCAAGTCACCCGCACCCGAAGGATTCCAAGCCTTAGGTAAGACGTGGTCAGCATCTGTCAACATTCGTTTCAGAAAGGTAAATTAGAAATGATTTAATATTTAGCAAGATTCAAACGATTTATATTCTGTAAGTTCAAATCTACGGTACTGATTTGTTTTTGAGTTGTAACAGGCGAAAGTTAGGGTATGGATTTTCTCACTTCTTCACGGGGCTAACTGTACTACTAACATCGGTTAGTGACTCAACGTGGTCCAACAATAACACGACTCCATCCATTATTAACAGGTTTCTGCTCACACACACATTGTTCAATTTCTAATTGGAGCTCTTTTCATTAAATTATTTTTCTCCACAACGTACATTATGGTGTAAATCGTAAAGGTGTTTGACTTGTACATCGGGTCTACACTTCAACTAATTCATTTCTAACGACTCCGTCCTACTGATGGGCCAAAATTAACAACGGAGAAGTTCCCTTTTGGTAGACCAGAACACGCCTTTCCCTTGCTCGAGGAATGTGTGTGTCTTTTGTTATGTAATTTAAATACAAATGGTCTTTATACCAACACCGCTATTATACTCCTGTGAAAGTGTCTAAACACACTACAGTATAATGTGTTTAGAGCAATGACTTTGAGAGATACTGTATACGAAATGTTGGAAAGCCGATGCTAATGTGATTTAGATGGCTACCAAGCAAGTGAAAGGGGGATTTGTTTTACTTATCTGAAGGGTGACAGACGATCGGGCACACGAGACGATCGGGC